CCGTTCTGTAAAATGCGCGTTCTTATATACCGAATTGACCGGAGCTTTTCGGTGTAGCGTACCGGTAAACTTCGTTGTTCGTGTTAACTTTTTGTGCTTTTCGTGTCTTTCTTGTGTATTTTGTGTATTGTCGTGTACTTCGTGTTATTTGCATTTTTGCGCACTTTTCTTCGCCTGACTTTTATGTTTGACATATTTCGCGTCTTTTTGATTTAATTCGGAAAGAGAATTAAAATTTAAAACCACCATAAAGTGTTAGTTTTCAATTTAATTCAATTAATTATAACTTCCATTATTTAATAAATAAAATAAAACCCCAACGATATATATTTGTGCGTGATATTGTGGTAGGAGAATTAGTGCAAGTGTCTGATTGTAATTATTGTTTTGTATGGTAGTTTGTTTATGTTAAAAAAAACATATATGATTAATAATTGATATAGTGTTTATAATTTTGTGTTTTACTACATATAGTGGAAAAATAAACCAAACGAAGAATTTACGGCAGCAGTGGGTTTTTTACTGATGTGTTGTTTTTTTTTTTCTATTGTAAAAATGTAAACAATGAGTGTTTGTTTTATTTCTTTAAATTCATGTTTATTCAATAAAGATATAAAGTGTGTTTTATTGTTTAATAATTGTTCAATGTATGATTATTTGTAATTCAAAATTCATGTTTTCAAGTTGTGTTTTGTTGGTTTGTTGTTATTAATTTTCTTTTTTCTTCTTCTTCTTCAGTTTTGTTTATTAGTCTTATCCGCGGCTTATGAACGCCTGGATTGCAGGTAATGTTATTGTCTTACCATCTTGTTAAGTAATAAAATAAATTTTATTCTTTTCAGGTTACATGCTGATCTTGTAGGGGTGAGTTGGGTTCTTTATTTGAATAGTCCATGGTGATGGTGTTGTGTTTTAGGCTGACGGTCTGACGTCAGATTTACACAAGAATTTATGTATGGTTGAAATTGCTTTATAGAAATTTCAGCCTTTACAACTTTTAATAAACTGTCTTAAAATTTTCTTTTATCGGTTTTTAATGATCCGAAATGCACCACTTGCCGTACTCGAAAAATACAAAAAAAAGAGACCGAAACAAGCTTCCGCTGGCTATTTTATAGTTAGTTTGCCTAACTGAAAAATCCTCCTGTCGCGTTAGTGATCCTGTTAACTCTTTGTTTACCGCTTTGTTTACGCTCTTGGAAATTTTTCACCACTCTCCTCGTTGGCTTTGCTGGTTTTTGTTTTGTGTTTATTTATTTGTTTTAGGGTGATGACCTCTAAGAAAGCTTACTTTATTTTTCACTTCCAATAAAGCTTAAATTATATAGGTTTTATTGGTACTTGGCAATGCTATATTACGTCAAACTTCATTGTAGCTTTCGACATAATTCGCCTTCAATGATCTAGATCAAAACAAACCGAAACAAAAGCTTTCACACATTTCTTTAGTTACCACTTTTGTTTTTTTTCTTTTATTTTTTTTTTACTGATAGCGTGCGTACAATGCACGTTGAATTGTTTGTTTATAAAGAAATGATGTGATGTTTTTTTTTGTTAAATTATTTAAGTGTTTTTTCATTTTAATTTTTATTTCTACTTTTATTTAATTTTAAAGTTTTAATTTTTCTTTAAAAAAAATTATTTTAATAAGTGTAATCACAGTTAGATACCGAATTTCGACGCCTCAGTTTTAAACGACATGCAGAACTACAAACATTTGAAGACTTTTCTGCCTTAATGGCACAACAACATAAAGAGGAGATCGCCGACGGGTATATAGTTCACTGGACGTCGTGGGGAATTCCGAGGTAATGTCAGATTATTTGACTATTATTACTTGTGGTATTAATATTTTATTCCCTCACAGGCCTACATAACACTGTCGGCAATAAGAACGGTGTTATCCGCGTATCTGATGTTATTAATGAAAATGCCGTTTATCTTCACACCTTGTTGAAATTCGCTAATGGATTCTTCAAATATTTTTTCTGAGTACACATTGAATAACAGTGGCGACAATATGCAACCCTGTCTAACGCCTCGTGAAATTGATATCCCTTCTGTTATATCACCATCGATGTTTACATGCGTAGTTTGTTGCCAGTACAAATTTTTAATGCATCGGATTTCCTTGTCATCAATATTAATGTTTTGAAGAATTTCTATAAGTTTATCATGTTTCACGTTGTCGAACGCTTTCTCGTAATCAATAAACCAGAGAAAAACGTCTTTGTGAACGTCTTTACAGTTTTGAATTAAAACTTGAATATATAATAGTGCTTCCCGAGTTCCAAGTCCTTCTTTAAAACCAAATTGCGATTTTCCCATTACTTCTTTGCATTTTTTGTATATTCTGCCGTGCATAATTTTTAGAAATATTTTTATGGCATGTGACATAAGGCTGATAAGTCTGTATTCACTACATTTTTTTGCATTTTTCTTCTTAGGCAGTGTTATGAAGGTAGATTTTACCCAGTCATCGGGATATTGTCCAGTATCGTATACATGAATAAACAATTTTACTAATAGATTAGTATTTTCTTTATCAATTAATTTCAAAATTTCAGATGGAATCTCGTCTGGGCCAGTTCCTTTATTGTTTTTCATCGATTGTATAGCTTTCTTAACTGCTATCAGAAAAAACGTTTTCAATATATGTTTTCCAAATTCGTTTCTTTTCATTTATGTCAAAAACTATTTCGTTATCATCACTAATGAGAAATGAAGTAGAGTTTTTTCGGTAAATTCCTGCGATCTGTTTCAGTTTTTTGTGGAGATTAAAGTCATCATGTAGTGATTGTAATCGTTCAATTTCTTGGCATTCGTTACTTACCCAAACTGTTTTTGCTATACGGATCTTACTTCTGATGTCTCTGTTTAATTGCCAATATAGATCTTGTTGTGTATTTTTATACTGACGACGTTCATTTATTAATTTCGCTATATCTTCGGTCATCCAATGATTTTTTATTTCTCTCCTATATGATCCAAGAGTTTCTTTCGATGAAGATATAATCGTTGTCTTGAGTTGTTCCCATATATTATTTGGGTTTCTAGAATCAATACTACTAATGCGCTGATTTATTTTATTTTTTAATGAACATTTTATGTCATCATTTCTTAGTTTTTTTAAGTTGACTTTAAGGTTTGGTTTCTTTTTGCGATTTGATGCTAATCTTATGTAAATTTTCGCCATTAGAAGATTATGATCAGATGATACATCTGCGCCCAGGTAAGTTGTAACTTTCTTAACTGAAGAGCAAAAACGATCACTAATTAGGATGCACTCTATTTGATTTCTGATAATGTTATCAGGAGTGTCCAATGGATATTTCCAAGTATATAGTCTATGAGGTGGTAGATTGAACAAAGTATTTGAAATCTTTAATTTATATTCTTGACAGAATTGTATTAGTCGATCTCCTCTATAATTTCTTTCACCTAGTCCATACTGGCCCACAACTCCTTGAATTTCTCCTCTTCCAAGTCTCCTTGAATAATTCTATCTTATATTCTATCTTACTAAATGTCAAATTTGCTAATTACAAGTTTTACAATTATTTTTTAAAAAAAAAGTGTTTTATTCTTTCTTTTTATACAATCTTGCTTATTATAAGTTTTACATAAAAAAATTTTATTACGAATTTGCTTATTACAAAAAATATTTATTATTTTGGGCATACATCCACTCTTATTCCTCTTCTACTTAAAAATGTAAAAATTTATTTAGGTTATTAAGAATGTCAAGTCTTCATAAAAATTACGTAATTATTCTTATCCCCTTTATTCTGATATTTTTACTATATATTGTGTGGTGTTTTAAAATATTACCTCAAAATGTTTTCACCCGCTAGCATGAGTCAGGCCGATTACTATTACTCTCTATGTCGCTCCTCCGATGATTCGGAAGATGAGGAGCTAAACAGGAAAACCGCTGTGTGGATAACAAAATTGCTTCGTCCACCTACTGAAGAAGATTTCACTCAATCAACCACGAAGGATGTAGCAGCTAATGAAGAAACAGGAAATGCCTATCACAGTATTAGCTATAATACAGATATAGATGAAATCCTGTATCCCTCGGCTAAACGGAAACTAATATCCCCGAAAAAAATAAATCGGATAATACCGTCCTAAAAAAATGTAAAACACTACGTTTGTTATAAATAAAGAGAGAAACATTTTGACTTAATGTGTTTTTATTATATTGAATTTGTGAAGAATATGGAAAAAGAAATGGTTTTGGTCGGCCGTCATTTGACGGTATTAGAAAGTTGTTAATGACGCTGAATAATTGCTGCTTAATTGTACCGGCAGCGGTGGTGCTGGTGTAGGGTGTGCAGTGTATGCATTTGTAAACTGAACCGTATTCTGTGAAAGAGGCGGTGTAGGAATTGATGATACCTGTGTTATACATATATGAGTGTGTATATTGTGTTGGTGTACTTTGCGTAGAAAGAGGTGGCGGATAATTTCTTATCTTTGTCTGATCTTTGAAGGGATGGTGCTTCTGACTCATTTAAAGTACGTTTATTTAATTTCACGTATAGTACATACATAAACGTTGAAAAAATAATAACTGCTGCTACCGATATTGTCATTGCTGTTGTTATAGTTTTCCCATGGAAATGTAATTCTTCTATTTTTTTTAGGTTATCCTGTTATCTCCAGATAATGTCCTCAAATGTTAATGATTGGTTTTTTTGTTTAATATTTTCTGTATTGCTTGGTGGTAAAACAAGCAGTTGATCTGTTTTTAGCACTTGGTTCTGTAAAATTAAACTATTAACTTGTATGGAGCAATTACTTAAAGTCAGAAAATAATTTCCATTCAGTGTTAATCTTCTCTGATCACAAGTACTATTTAATTTGCCTTTTTGTACGTCAGAATTATCATATCGCTCTACACTTCGATAACCTTCTCCTCTGTAATTCTTATTACTGCACACTTTCCAGTAAAAATACAGGTAGCGCTTAACTTTAGTTCAAAAACTGATTTATCACCTTCGCTTACCAGCTATCTCTACTGTTGTTTCCAACGCTGTATTTATTTGATTTCCTTTAGCATTTGATATAGGAACTACTAACCGTTTCTCTACCCTTAATGTCTCTCCTGGTACTTTTATTACGAATACAATTGACTTCTCCTTAAACGTTGCCGTTCCTAGTTTAATTTGGCTCAGTTTTTCGAAACCAATATCGAACTTCTGTATTTTCTCCCGGTTCAAAATGTTTGGTTGTATCACTCCCGATTTTGCCGAAACAACGTTTTTTTGTATCCGTTCAACTTGCCTTCGGAGACTCGTAATAGTAAATAGCTGTGATATTGCCAAATTTTCGTCTAATAAATCTCTCTTTACATTGTTTCTTATAAGTTCCCAGTCGTTCTGTATCACTTTCTTTAGTTTCTCCAAAGTTTTGTTATAACTGTCATTTATGTTAACCTGTTGATTTTCAGATATGATCAGTTCATGATTGTTCTGCTCTAATGCTACCAAATGCCCTTCGATGGTAGATTTATCCTTATTATCTAAAGTTACAAACGCACAACTGAGTAGACGTCCTCCAGCATTTAGTAATCCCCTTTTTAACCTATGTGGCATTAACGTATGCAACATATTCTCGGTTTAGATAATTTCTGTTTCTACCAGTGCTCTGTAGTTCTTATTTTTTATAATGTCGTTTACTGATTTATAAAGTTTTCCCAGCAGGTTCTTTATTTCGTATGGGTTGACTGCATGTAGAATGTAGTTATACTTATGTACAATTTCTGCTTTTTCTACGTTGATTTCCGTATAACCAGTTTCCGTTTCAATTTTTTCTACATATAACTCAGCCTTTCCGTAATCAATTACTGACCCAATGAGTAGAGGAAGCAGTATTAACTGTTGAAAAAGTTATTTTGTGAGTTTATTATATTTTTTCCACATTAGTTCTATTCGAATTGTAAAATCATTTGTTTTTCCTTTTTAGAACTTTTTATTATTATTATTATTTCTTATTTATATATATCACCTAATTAATATTCTTTGATTTCTTTGATACCTTGTCTCCTACATCTAATACTTATCCTAGTCTTTAAATTATCTAATAATTGGATAGCTTCACTAAATTAGAATCAAATACTTTTTTCCGTCATCTTATTAAAATCTTTACATGCATTGGACTCGGTATTGCTGCGACTTCGAAAGGTTCCATCCACAAAAGGGATAACTTATGTTTTCTACCTTGATTCTTTAAACATACCTTATCTCCAATATTGAATAGTCGATTTCTAGTATGTTTGTCGTGGTATACTTTTGCCTTTTCCCTTGCCCTTTTTTGGTTTTTCTTTACTACTTCATATGATCTCTGTATTTGGTACTTCAATACTTTGGCACTATATTATACAGAGGTACAGGTTTCCTTTTGAAATTCACTGGCACATCAAAATCGATGTTCGCGAAGGTGTTTGCTTTGTCGCTGAATGCACCGAGTTATTGTAAATATGCATCGCATGATGCATCCACTCATCCCAATTGGTTTCGTCGATGTTTACAAAATTCCTTAAGAACTCGCCAAGTGGTCGGTGACTTCTTTCTAATGATCCGCTCGCTTGCGGATGGTAAGGTGTGGTATTTATTTTTCTTATCCCTAACAATTTACACACTTCTTTAAACAATTTTGAAT